GAGAAGATATTTCACTCATGGCCAGTATGAATGTTAAAAATGCTCCTAACATCGTTTCTTGGATTTACACAAAGCAGAGAGTTGAAATGAGCCAAAGAGCAGTCTGCAAAGACTGCCACTTCGAGCTAATGTTTGATGACTGCTGCTGTCGGATGTGAGCCATGTGTGGGAGTTTTGTATGAGCCCACTTAGCACAGCTGCGGTGATGTCAGTATGGCATGCGGCCTCACCGCTTCCCAGCATACACACGTCTGTGTTTCTGTCTTTGTGAGGACACAGAGTAAACCCACAGTAACACTGAGCGCCACCAAATTCTATCCTTGAATCTAATCCTGATCTTAAATGTTAGGTCAAATCTGAGCCTCTGAGTAGCTTTTTTTTGGTGTGTTGGAAAGCAGGTACCAGCCATAATGTCCTCACAGAGGAGATCTAAAACTCGAAATGGTCCTCACAAAGATGAATTTATAAGTACATATGCAATTTATGTCTTTTATAGTTACTTGGGCTCTTATAATGCCTCTGTAATGGCTCATGAATATGGTTGAATGGTCATTAAATTTTTTCTTCATGCCAAATGAGATGAATTACATTCTAATTTATCAAATTAATTGGCAGTCCCAGCCCCCTCTCTCACACAACATGTAAAAAGGGCCTAATTCAGGGGCTAATTCTCCATGCAGATTCTTGCATTTAAAGCCAAGATTACAAATGAGGTTGATGCATAAAATGGGGCCGATTCACCCTATCCCACATCATTGCTTAATGGTGGTAATGACTGTTATTGAAATACACTAGACCAGTGCCAAAATAGCCTTACCCTCACTGAATCATTTGTGCCCCCGTGTTTATAGTCTCTCACTGAAGTTGCCTAAACCTTCACCAGTCAGTTGCAGATCTGGAACCAGAGACCACCTGATTAGGTTACAACCATTGTGGAGAAAAAATGGGATTTCTTTTTTCCCCACCGTAGTAGCTAAATTCAAGGGTGCTACGGCATGGGCATGTATGTCATGGTAAGTTTGGGCATGTTTGCTGGTGTTGGAACTTGAACCCTGAGTTTTCCGTGTGAACAGCTGTCTCCACAATCCCATTTACAAACAGAAGGAAACTTAATACTAAGAATGGCATCTTAAATACAACCAGTTTCCGAAATCACTAAAGAGGCCTAGATGATTAAACAGATTTTAATTACAATTTTGACTTTTCCACGCTTCAGAATCATGCTAGTGTGGTAAAAATTAATAGTTTGTTTGCAGTCATTTCTCTTAGGAAGATTTGGTGTGTTATAAATAGAGCACACGCCTTTTTCTTCACAGCAGTGCTTTTTTCACATTGGCCAATCTATCATCAATGTAATGGCAGTTGTAAAACTGATATCATGCATGAAATTAAGACCGGCATACCAATAAATCTGGCAAATGCATGATGTATTTGTTAACAATAATTTGAATAATTGCATTAAACAATGAAGATTACAGTTAATGAGCAAAATAACCCTTTGGTGTTTACCTAAATCAAGCAACTCTAGGTAACACCTCTCTAACACAATGTCAAAGAGACAACACGTAAACCACAACAAAGGCAGACTCTACGGCCTGCTGTTTCTACAGAAAGTCTTAAACCATGAAGAGTTGTGCCTGATGAAGTAGTGACTCAATACAAAATTACCCTGTGGGTTCAAGCTACAACGGTGGTCAGAAGTTTAAAAACACATGCCATGGGCATGAATGTCGTGGTAATTTGGGGCTTATAGTAATTTCTTTGAACTGTTCCCTTTCTAGTCTTGATTGATTGTTCAGCATACATCTTTAATGACTTCAAAAACACAAGAGTTGGATGCACAAGTTAGAATTTACTTTGTGTGTGGATTAGAGAAAATCCAGTGTCAAAAGTATAAATACAGGATACAGAAACCCCCACTAGTATTTGCTTAAATGCCTCTTAACAAGTTACACATCGAACAGATGCTTTCAGTGACAGTCAACAAACTTCTAGCATAATTCTGGTGGATATTTGACCACTCTTCTTGACAGAGTTAGTAGAGTTTATTTAAATTGGTTAAATTCCTGGCTTATAAGCATAGATAAATTACATACATACATTTCAATGGGGTGGAGATTGGGGCTTTGGGAAGGGCATTGTCCCTTAGCAAATGACAATGAGTTTAGTGCCAAGCTTTTTACTAAAATACCAACCTATGCATCTGAAAAATTAAGGCTACATGGGGGATACAGGAAGTGCAGGGAGTTTTTCTTTCCCACTGTTGCCGATTGCCTATTCATAATGAGTCATCTGATTGTTGTTTTCTCTGTGTTACTGCAGGTCTTTAAAGCGCCTTGAGACAACGGAAGTTTTTATTTGACGCTATATAAATAAAAACAGAATTTTGTGCTGGTGTAAACAGCAAGCGTTTGAATGGATTGAGAAATGGCTATTGTAGTATGTTAATTAGCCATGTGCTTGTATGGCTTGCTTGTTTATCCTCATTAGTCATGTGGGGCTATTGTCTGACATTAATTTCAGGTGAAAGCTTGCTTTAAAGACTAAGCTGGATATGAATAATGAGCCAATCATGTGATCATTCATGGAGAATAATCACAGAGAGAATTGCTGCAGCAGACAGACAGACACTCAAAGTAAAAACGATACCGTCTCGCTTTCACAGCTGGTTAAGATTGCAGGGTTGGAACAGGGGTGTCAGAAGTCCCATCAAGCACTCAAGCAGCAACCCACACCTCCCACTTCCTAATGGGTAAACACAGCTGTTTCAGCACATCAACCCAAGGGCAAAGGTCGCTGAGACTGTCAGATCATCAACTGGATTCCTGCGCACCCTGATGAGAAGAGTGTTTTAAGAGTTCTCTTGGCTCACAGTGTGCACATGCTGCCTGCATTTGTACGGGTTGGTCTTTACAAACTAACGTGAGAGCAAATACAGGTGCAGCTGCCATGCTCGGCACAGGAAGGGCATCGTCAGGCAACTTCATTCACTGATTCAGCTAAAGCAGTACCTGGTAACAGCTACCAATCAGGGCTTCATCAGATAGGTGTTGCTGTGGATGTGTGTGTAAGAGTGTGTGAGTGAGCAGAACTGTTTCCACCACTGAGGATTGCAGACCCGGAAGATGTAGAGACAGCTGTACCACAGCGGGGGTATGTGTGCGTCTGTAACTCTCAGTGGGCCCGGAGACAGAAAATATGCATGTCTTTACTTTCAGTGTCTGTTTTTACACAAAATGTTCCAGTTCCTACACGAACGTAACCTGCTGCTCGTATGATCTCATCAGGAAAGCCGACAGGTGTCTAGGGTTACACCAATGTGTACACACTATAAAAGCAGTGTATGTTGTGATGGTGGAAGCAAAATGACAGAAATGATGTAATTGTTCAAATACTTAAGGTTTTAATTTTTGATTATTTTTTTAAAACCTATTATTATAATGATCTGTTCCCCAACTTCTCCTACATGTGTTGATCAATGTGGATGAAATTACTATACAAGCTGCCTAGGGTACCAGGATTATCAGCATATGTATAGCTTTGGGAATCATTTTTATAATATTCAAATCCTTACAATTTCTATAAATGTGAAGTAGCTTATCTCGAAATGAACTGCAACATCTCGAGTACATTCCTACAGCAAAGATTTTTTTTCTTTTCCTTAAGACAGGTTGTAATCTGCATTGCAAAAGTAATAGATTATCTATGTTTTGTTGTTTACATAGCATCTTATTAAAAAACAAAACAAAAAAGAAAACCTGGCCAGCCAAGTACATAGAGCAGTTTGTTTGTTCCGTCCAGCAATGCTGTGATTCATTTCACAACTGGTAAATTAACGTGCTTTTACTTTGAAAGTTCCTGTCTCATGTCTCCCTTTAGTCAGGGTGGTCTGCAGTTGGGATAGTTTTGGATATCATTTATTGATCCTTCTCTTCTTCCACTCTCAATTAAACATCAAATAAACTTCACAGCGTGGCAGGAGCTAGCAGTGTCGTTTCTTTGAGAGCCGCTGCTTGCTGAAGAGGCCACTTTGAGCAGAACTTGCAGCATTTGGAGAGCTGCTTGTGCTATGCTTACTTATTAGAGGCAGCTGTATGTGGCATGCATGTATTTTCAAATTCTTTCAAACTGTTGGTTCATTATAATCTTATATTTATTTTATATTGTGATTAAACCATGAGAAAGAAGAATAGGCTCTTTATACAGGTTCCTCTTAATAAGCTATTTAAACCCCTTGAAAAAGTGTGTTTTGTTTCTCCTTCTCATTCTTGTCCTCGCTATATCAGTACTTGATTAATTTGAGCACTTTTGACTGAGAAGTTATCAGGTGTACACTTTAACTTGTGTGCTACCACGCATACCACTAGAAAGGTCATGCAGGATATGAATTTCTCAGCATTAGTTTGCTGATAATTCTGTAGAGGTTTAACGCGTATGTAGGCAGATTGTTGAGTGAACAAATTTGTCATTTGAAATCTAAATTTTGCCCCGCATATTATTTATTTATTTGACTGCTTTTTTCATATTAAATTGAAAATCTCAAGAAATGCTGCTCAAATCAGGAAATCTTGTCTTACTGCACATGTCAAGCTCCAAAGCAGCTATAAGAGGAAACACAAATTTGCAATATCTGCCACCTCCTTTCCCCCAAAATAAACTGTGTAGGGTAGGTCTCCCTAGCACAGGTCTCTATAATAAAGCTTTTATTTTAGCTTTTACAGCTGCGCTGCACCACACCGCTCTGTAATTCCCACTGGCACGAGCATGGAGACTACGAAGCGTAGCTAACCACCCACTGTAAATCCAGAATATTCCCAGAAACAACACTATGTCTGCCCACTGCCCAAGACTAGTGTGTGCCCATCATTATGTGTACATAGGTTTATGGCAGGCGCTCACTGAACTCAGGAGTCATGAAGTGAATGAAAGAAATACATGCAGACGCTTGTGTTTGTGTCTGTAGGTATCTGTGACTAACTTTAAACCTTTTTGTATTGCAGGGGTCCCTTCAGCGTGGTGAGGCGCTGCATCAACAGGGACACTGGCCAGCAGTTTGCTGTAAAGATTGTTGATGTGGCCAGCTTTACCTCCAGCCCTGGCCTCAGCACAGAAGGTGAGAAGCACAGCAGACCTGGATTGATCTGGGGCTGGCAGGTCACGTGTGCTGGTTTTTCACTTAAGGCACCAGATGGAAGGGGTTAACATAACCAGGGCAAGAGAGCGTCGCTATAGAGATTACTCAAGGAACCGCACTCTTTAACAGACCTAGAAGAGCTGTGTTCTGTGTAATGGGACCCCCCATGTTCTTGTGGGTTAAAACAAATATTGGGATTAAACTGCAAATGGAGGTTGGCTCACACATCAAACACTGTGGCACTCACAGAGTGCATAATGGCCTCTCACACATAAATAAACAGGCCATAATGTTGCATACACTGCACCCAGATGAGTAATATCTTGGAACTGCATGTGTCGTGTGTTGGTTTAGGGTGTGATAGGCTCACATTTTGTGAGATGCTCCATGCATGCCTTGTCTCACCATGTGGGTTTGGGTTTTGTCATTGTGTGTGTGTGTGTGTGTGTCAGGGTGGGGAGTGAGGGATTGAGACAAAAATCACAGGTGTGTGTGTGTTGGTGGTAGTATTGGCATTCACTATGGGCCATCTGTGACGCCCCAGCCAGAGATTATTCTGGCAGCCAATAACAGCAGGAAAAGGAAATGACCCGAGGGAGGAGAAAGAGGAAAAATCGGAGTGTTACACCAAGGTTTCCCAAACCAGAACTTACACCCAGGTTATTTTTGTGCTAATTGTATTCATCTGAAAACATAAACCACCCACATTTAAGAGTTTCTCTTACCTCAGAAATATTTCAAAGCATTTTTTATTTTTTTATTTTTTGAATCTCCTGAGTCACTTCACACATGCTTCACCATGTGGTCACTTTCACCAGGAATGGCACAAAAATGAACAGACTTCCAAATGTGATGATAATGATGTCGAATTCTTCCAATACGTTAAAGGTTGGGGCTTTGGCGCATGACTTGTTACAGAGGCTCTCGTGTCACATGATGCATTTCTAGGAATGCCAACAATATTACATTGTATGCTTTTTCATATTGCGATAAACAGAGCAGCTCATTTCACAAATGTGGGGATTTACTGTGCTAGGCAGCAAGAGATCGAATCCGTAGCAGATATTGAAGGGAGGGTTTTAAGGGCTGTGGGTGGTTAATACTGTTAGATAGACGTCGGTATCAATAACAATTTAAAACAGCTTCAGAGTATAAAATCATTTAAAGCACATTCAGAAGGCTGCGTGATAATTGTCCTTTTTTTATTCTGTTAAAAGGTGCCGTACCATTGGAAAGCCTGTTTGTTTGGCCTTAAATGGTGCTGCATCTGTAAGAAAAACACATTTGTGGGTTGAGCAGCAGAGTTGAGTTTGTGGGTTGCGCCCATGAAAAAACAAATCTGGTCTTTCCTCTAAGATGACAACGCTCACCCTCACAGAGCGGGGTTTATCAGAGATTGCTTCCAGGATTTGGGATTTGGGAGTGGAGAGGATGGAAAGGCCTGCCTGCAGTCCTGATGTTTGACTGTTGGAGAATGGTATGCGTCCCACAGCAGTGTGTGAGCGGAGGACCAGCATAAAAATAA